CAGCTCATTTACGTCAACTTTCTTCTTAAAGATACTTTTCAAAGTCCAACAGTCCCTAGTAGGGTGTCTGGTGGCTCTGTGATAGATACAATAATCTGGGCTTTCTTTGTCCTTTTTGGTTAGAGGGACATCAACTGGAGGCAAAGTAAGTTCACTATCGGCTACCTATTCTTTAACCAAGGCCTTAACATTCTTCCGAGAGGATGACGCCTCCCCTTGTGAGTGGCTCCCTCCTGGAGAGGTTACCGTAGCAACTCTGCTACTGCAGGAATAGCGGTGACTGTTGTGAGATCTATGGAGAGGGCCAGTGGTACTGAGGTTCCTAGCTGCCTCAACCAAGGCTTAAAAGGTAGGCAGATTATGGCTCACCAAGAAAATTTTGTAGTCACGTGTGGCACCTCCCACACATATGCTAACTAAGTGGACCTCAACCACTGGTTCATGACAGTCAATAACCTTATCCTAGAATCATTTGACATAGTCTAGTATATCCTCACCTTCCTTTTGGACATCTCACTCGAGCGTGAGAGTTGTAACTTTCTCTTGGACTTGGAAGAACTTCGTATGGAACTTGTTCACCATCTCCTCCCAACTCTTGATCGAGTTGGGGGCCAAGTTCACATACCAGCTATAAGCCCTTTTGGTAATTGATTTGGAGAACTCCCGAAGGCGCAGAAAGTGGTCACTACTATGGACACCGAGAGTTTCAATGAACCTCACCACATGTTCTCTGGCATTGCCTTGCTTCCCATCAAACTTGATAAACTTGGGTACTATATACCCAGTTGGATATGGCATAACCAATATCTCCTGAGAGTATGGAGGCTTCACATCTAGGTCAAGGAGAGATAGTAGTTGCTTATTGCTACGCTTTTGCTCGAACATAGCTTGTACATTGGCTAGAGTAACAAAGTGAGTGGGCTGGAATGGTCCAGTCTGCTCCTGGGTAGTTGAATCAGTAATTGTACCGTTCTCTTGGGGTACCACCGGAGGCACCTCGATAGGAGCCTGATTCTTGGGGAACATGTTTGGGACTGTTACAGGCGAATGTACCTATGTTGGAGCTGGTCTGGATGCCATGGCCATAATAGCCTCAGTGAGAGTTTGCAAAGCTGCCATGATCTCCCTCTGCATATCCTGGAGTGACTGGACTAGACCGCCTTAACCACAACACTGTGGTCATAGTCCTCAACATGTACTGCTCTGTCATTAGAAGAGCCTTGCTGTCGTGGGGGTTGCTGAACTTCATAATCTGCCATTTTTTCCAGTGAAGTGTGTAAACCACTGCGGGTATGAACCATTAACAAAGCAGCCTTGACAACAGAGTCTCCAGAAATGTAAGGGGGGTTCAAGGTTATGAAGGTGATTAGAGAGGCAAAACTATGCTAATGGTCCAACAATGGTGGAATGGCTGGACGATGAGCAATAGCAACTGTCTAGGAAGTTGGAGAGTGAGTAGTTGGGTGAGGGTGAAGCAGGTAGCTCAAGAAGAAGACAATGATTGTGCACAAATGGGCATCATCTCCCCCCAAATCCCCCAAAATTGTGTTCTCTTAGGCTGGGAAATGGGTCCTATTTATAGGCTTTTTCTTGGTACCAAGAGGACACCAAGTGGCCAAATAGATAGATGACATGTGTCCCAGAGGATCACATGGAATATTCTGCCTTGAGCCACCAGGCTGAAGGTGCCATGTGTCTTCCTGCATGTACTGTGTACTATCTATTTGCCTCCGCAAATTCCTTTTTTGAGCCTCAATAAGTGTAGTTGCGATGGGAGTATTTGGCGCTGCAACTCCCTTTTGAGCCTCAGTAAGTGCAGTTACGGCGGGAGTGTTTGCCGTTGTGCTTGCCTTCTCAGCTCGAATCTCAACAAGTGCACTTGCAGCGATAAACCTTGCTGCTACACTTGCCTTCTTAGTTCTATTTGGCCAGTACATACATTCTCAGGACTCCATAGCCTGCTATCAGCCATGTTTGTGTTCACCTCAGTGAAGCCTCCACCCTTAACCACCTAACCACAAACTCCCCAGTTTCCAAGGGTGAAGGCCATAGCCAAGCCTGCTATCAGCCATGTTGTGTCTTAGTACCAAGCCTAAGAGGGCTTTCTTAGTCCTGTTTGTGCGACTAAGGCAGGTTCATAACCTAGGTAATAGAAATGGAGTCCCTTACACTCGGGCTACCATGCCCCCATCTTCACGAGGTCTCCGCGGTATACTGGTATCTCTAGGCCTACTATCAGCTCCAACCAGTAAGCCTTGCGGTTTGCTATCAACGCCGAGCTAAAAATTATTTTGGGGGCCTGCTATCAATGCCAAGTATTAGCCTCCACTTATGAAGGGGAAGCTTCTCCCAAAGGCTGCTATCACATTGGTGGGTGTTCCCTCCGCAACTTGGCCGTCATAAGTGTCGCCTCTGCAACTTAGTTGCGTCAGCTTTCTCTTTCCTACAATAACTTCAAATGGCAGTGGAATCGACAATACTTGGAATGACAGCGCTGAGACAAAGTGCCTCCACAACTTGGTCGTCGCAAGTGTCGCATTTGCCACTTAGTTGCGTCGGCTTGCTCTTTCCTTCAGCAACTTTAGATAGCGGCGGAACCGACATTATTGTGAATGGTGGCGCTGAGGCAAAGTGCCTCTACAACTTGGCTGTCGCAAGTGTTGCCTCTGCAACTTCACTTCAGAGAAGCCTCCACCCTTAGCCACCTAACCGCAAACTCCCAGCTTCCCAAGGCGAAGGCCACAGGCAAGCCTGCTGTGCCTTAGTACCAAGCCCAAGGGGGCTTCCTTAGTCCTGTCTGTGCAACTAAGGTAGGTTCATGACCTGGGTAATGGAAAGGGAGTCCCTTACACTCGGGTTACCCTACTCCTATCTTTACGGGGTCACCGCAGTATACTGGTATCTCTGAGCCTGCTATCAGCTCTAACCAGTAAGCCTTGGAACCTGCCATCAGCGCCAAGCTAGTAAACTTCGGGGCCTGCTATCAGTGCCGAGCTAAAAATGACTTTGAGGGCCTGCTATCAGCGCCAAGTATTAGAAATGACTTTGAGGGCCTGCTATCAGCGCCAAGTATTAGCCTCTACTTATGGAAGGGGAGCTTCTCCCAAAGGCTGCTATCACCTTAGCAGGGTGTTCCCTTCGTAACTTGGCCGTTGTAAATGTCACCTCTACAACTTAATTGCGTCGACTTTCTCTTTCCTTATAAACTTCAGATGGCGACGAAACCGACAATACTTGGAATGGCAATGCTATCAACAATACTTGAAATGGTGGCACTGAGACAAAGTGCCTCCGCAACTTGGCCGTTGCAAGTGTCACCTCTGCAACTTAGTTGCGTCAGCTTTCTCTTTTCCCTCAACAATTTCAGATAGCGGCGGAATCGACAATATTGTAAATGGCGGCGCTGAGGTAAAGTGCCTCTACAACTTGGTCGTCGCAAGTGTTGCCTCTGCAACTTCACGTAGGCATTTTCCTTTGTGGAGTCTGTTTGGACCCTTGGCGAATTAGACTTGTTTCAGCCCACTGTTGGCGTACTTCCCTTGGGCTTTAGCCCATGCTCCTTTAATCTTTCCTAATCATCTAATATAGGCGACCTCCGTACTTAGGTCCATACTTAATTTGGACTTTAATTTCTTATCCTCTGCAGAGTTCAGGACCCATGCATAGTTCTATGATAGCAATTCTTCTAAAGGATTAGGATGGTTACAATAAGAGGATGCTATGAGTCAATAAGCCTACTAATGCTCCTAGAAATATTTCTTATATCGCCTACTTTTTTGTGATTCTTAATTAAAAGTTATAGGTTTGGTGGTAGTTGCGCCCCCCCCCCCCCGGGGAGCGCCCGGCCGGTCCTAAATTTGTCAGTATTGCTTTCCATAAAGAGTTTTTCAATTATTCTGCAAGAATATTCACAGCCTTTCATCGTTGAATATACAGTATTGCTTGCCATAAAGAGTTTTTCAATTATTCTAAAAAAATATTCACAGCTTTTCATCGTTGAATATGCAGTTCAACTCCTAATTTAATATTGGTTAAGATTTAATTGGTGTTTCTTTGCAAAGCATCTAGCCATTGCTTAAGATCAAAGTATTAGTGCATATAAGTGTAATGGAGTAATATCTTTGTTTTAACGTTGCACTCATCACATTGCAAAAGAACATTTCAACTCTTTCCATCAGCCGCATTGCAGAGACAATGTGCTCTTCAATTTCTCCTTTGGGACATTTTCATTCACCCAATACCTAATCCCTTTCTACTCTTCCATAGTATTCTCTAACCCCGGCGTTGATCGAGATAGAGATGGTGGTGCGATGATTGGATAAAGTGGTATATTATTAAGCTTCGTTTGGGAGCAGGCTTTTTTAGTAACTGTTTGACTTTTTAGCTAAAACATTATGTAAAAAAAACTAGTATGTTTGGGATGACTTTTTATTTTTTTACGAAAAGAAGTGCAAAAAGTAAAGAAATATGAGAATCTTTGACTTTTGATATAAGTTGTTGACTTTTTGATTTTTTAGTGACTTTTTGGCCCTGTTTGGTAAAACTTAAAATCAGCTTATTTCAGCTTTCGACTTAATTTAAGCTATTTGGTTATGTTTAGTGCAACTTAATTGATTAAATTATAACTTTTTTGAAGCCATTTTCAACTCATTTCTGAAGTTGCTCGGAGCATGCTTATGGACTTATAGCTTAAGCGCACAGCTATTCATGGGTCACGAAATGACTAAAATGTCCCTCTAAAATTTCAACAATTACATAATTGCCACTATATAAACCCTCTTATTGCCCTAGCCCGCTCCTCTCCTCATACTCCTCTTCTCAGTTCCTCTCTTGGCGACACTGAAAACGATCCTCCACAGTAGCCGATCGAGCTCTTCCACATCTCCAACACAGCCGATCGAACTCCTCAACATCTCCAAGATCAGCCGATCGAACTCCTTCCGTCCTTATTTCCGTTGATCTGCCCCAAAAAGGTGAGAGTTCATGCCTCTTTGTTTGTGATATATATATATATGTATACACACATGGAGTTGGGGTTTACAGACCATATCACACTCCATTCCTCTCTTCGCTTTCTTCTTCTTCTCCGATTTGCATAATTTTTAGTGCATCTATTGGGTTAATTAATAATTATAATCTTCAGTGCATCTATTGGGATGATTGAACTTAAGATTGATAGTTTGCATATATTGTGTCAATTCATTTAATTGGCAATAGTGTGATCTACTGGGTTAATTAATAATTATTAATATTAAAGTATTGATCTGTCCCCCTGTGGAATCTTTTGTTCCAGAATGAAAATCAAAGATGTTACATGCTGGTTGTAAATCTTAAAACAAAATTTAAATCTCACATATTGAGACGAAAAAAAGGAAAAACAAAAATAATGTTTTGGGCATCTTACCTAGAATTCCTTAGGTTTCATCTCATAAAGTTTTTCACTTTCTCTCGAATTCTTACAGCATTATGTATTTAAAAGATTAATGCTAGACTACTACTTGTAAGAGTAAACTACAATAAAACAAACTGCCAAGACTACTTTAGCACTAGAGTTAGTAATATAATTGTACCCCGCAAGTTGCCTAGCAATCCAGAATCACAAAATTAATTATTTTTTGATATACCAAAAATAAAAATAAAAATATCATTAATGGTACAAACATAACAAAGCATAAGTAAAACTATACTAATAATATTTTAGCTTAAAACTGCTGCAAAATTGAAATTGATCCAAAACTGATTATGCAACAAATCCTCTGTTATGCCCATAAATAATTTCAATCTGTCTCCTTTTGGTTCCCATTCTTTGCATCAAGTTTTTCTACATGAGTTGTTGATTATAATCTAGTTTTATGATCATTTATGGTAAAGATTAACATATCTGAAAATAGTATTGATGAGTTTGATGAGTTCAAATGTAACTATTGTTGTGAAGTTTGATGAATTTGTTACTATTGTTGTGAAGTTTGTCCAACCTTCACTATTTTTGTTACTTTTTTTACTATTGAGTTTGCTTTATGGTAAACATTAAAATATCTGAAAATAGTATTGTTACTATTGAGACTGTGTGAACTGAAACTGTGCAATGAGCATTGGGAATTGTTGAAACTGAAACTATGTAATGAACCTTCACTATTTTTGTTACTATAACTTGGCTAATTCGAGAAGACTATGTGACGCATACAAGATGGTTATAATAAAAATGAAATTACAAAACACATTAAAGGTCAATTTTCTTTATTTTTTATCGTCATCTTTAGTGAACTTAATTAAAAGTTAGTGTATTTTTGTTTAATTTTTATTTTTAAGACATTCTAATCTAGAAGGATCTAAAATTAAACAATATCAAAAGAAATTTTAAAATTCACAAATAAGTCATTTAACCATAACTAAAGTAACAAATTTGATCTCTCCAACAATTCGGACAAATTTGAGGAAATTCATATTGTGGCTCCAAACCCTCTCCATTTATATACACGATGAATCTTATATTTACACATGACATATGTTTGTTGGATTCCCAGAATGAAATGGTATTGGTCACTTCAAATTGGTGTAGGAACAAATGGGTGCAAACGAATTGTCATTATGTTAGAAACATTTTATTCAATCAATACTTCGTAGGTGCAATGTATTTACAATTAGCTTACCAATGAGGATTTGGATTCAATTTTTCCTAATTAATGTAGAGGCATGTCATCCTCTAGTAACTATTATTCTAGTGGTGAAAGCTTCGACTTGAGGTATGAGCCTTTGAAATGTGATTGTGGGGCTAAAAGTTGCCATAAGGGTTACCGAGTCTGACAAGCCATCTAAAGGGAGACTGTATTTCATTTGTGAGAAGAGAAATAGTCAATTTTGGAGGTGGTGTACCCCAAAATCTGTAACGATGGTAGAGAGGCTGAGAAACGAGAGAATGCTTGATCAAAATCAAAATATGGAGATTGTAAGACTAAAAGTGAAGAACCAAATGCTTGAGAAATCCAATGCTTTGATGAAGCAACTTGTTGTGGGTCTGCTCACGATTTGCATTGTTATGTCAGTTGGATTACTCTTCAAATGATGATAGGTGCCATTTGGAGATACCCGATGTCTTTGTGCGAATGTAGTTTACCATGAACTATTGTACTAAGCTTTGTAATTGTTAATGTTGACATAGTTGCCATGTATGGTTGTTTTGTATTAATCTAGGTGTTGTAATGCAAGCACTGATGAATGAGTTTGTTTTAAATTTTTTTTTTTTTGTTTCATAGAATGAGTAACCAAGAGGAAACACAATCTCAAAATAGGAAGAACAAGGGAAAATCAAGTCAATTACCATTCGTTAAAGCCCATTGGGATACAAAATCAAAAGAAATTTTTATTAAGCTTTGTGTTGAGCAAGTCAAGGTTGGACATAGACCTGGGACACACTTAGATAAGGTCGGGTGGGAAAATGTCATATCTAAGTTTAAAAGTATGACTGGAAAAGCATACCAACGAATACAAATGAAAAATCATTGGGATGTGTTGAAAAAAGATTGGCTTTTATGGAATAATCTGTTAAGGGGCGAGACAAGCTTAGGCCTTGATACATTGAATGGACCTATATCTGCATTCGATGAGTGGTGGACTTTGAAATTGGAGGTACGTGAATTGCTTAATGTACATGTTATCCCAGTTAGGCAACCCAAGAGGGGGGGTGAATTAAAAAAGATTGGCTTTTATGGAATAATCTGTTAAGGGGCGAGACAAGCTTAGGCCTTGATACATTGAATGGACCTATATCTGCATTCGATGAGTGGTGGACTTTGAAATTGGAGGTACGTGAATTGCTTAATGTACATATTTTGTTTGTTTTTAGTTTACATACACCAAATTTTGTTATTTGAAATTGTTACATTTTCTTTTGTAATTGTTGCAAAGGTATCCTGAGGCTGCCAAATTTCGGCGTATGCTGTTGCAATTCGCTGACGACTTAGACATACTATTCTCAGATGTAGCTGCTACAGAAGAATGGACATACACTCTTAGCTCAGGGATAATGCCTCAGACTGATGAGACGCCAGAGGAATTTCATACCTTACATGATGCTGAATTTCATGATGATAATGATTTGGAGGTGGTTCATCCTTCCGAGTTAAACAAAAAACGAGCATCAAACACTGATGGTTCATCAACCAAGAGCAAGACAAAGAAGAAATTTACTGGTGCAGCTCTACTGAACAAGACACTTGATCGTATAGTCAATGTGGTTGAGTCATCTTCAGCAATTTCAACACAGACCTCATCAAGATATCCTTCAAATGCAGAATGTTTGGCAAAGTTGGAAAGCATCCCTGGTGTGTCCCTGGATGATGAGCTGTATGTATGGGCTGCCATATTGTTCTTAGGAGACAAGCGTAGTGTGTGCTTTATGAGTCTTCTAACGGATAAAGTTCGGTTGAGGTTTCTAAAGTTGGAGATTGAAATGGAGAAGACCACCATAGGTTATCGCAGCTAATTGTTTTTCAGATGGACTGTTGTGTTGAACTCATTATTTTTTTTCTTTTATTAATATTTTTGTTGGACTTTGATGGATATTATTGACTATGTTTGACTTTTATCATTAATATTTGACTATGTTGGACTTTGATTAATATTGAAAAATGTTGGACTTTTATTATTAATATTTGGGTAGGTGGCATTTTCATAGTTGAATGGTAGGTGAATGGTTGACTGGTTGAATGTTAGTTCAATGGTTGAAATGTTAGTTGAATAGTTGAATGGTTGGTTTCAAATTTGAATATGAATGATAGGTGAATGGTAAAGATCTTTATATATATGTAGATGTTTTCCAGGTGGTGTTATTATGGTGTTTTCCAGCTGAGCTGAATTTGGAGGTCATTATAGTTTGAATTTCAATCTTTTGCTGTTGTATTTTCAATCTTTTGCTACTGAATTTGGAGGTAACATTTTAGGAAGTTAACATTTTAGCATAGTGTTACTACCCACGTTAATAGTTGGATTGTTGATTGGTAGTTGGTTGGTTATTTGTGATTGAAACAAGTTTCAGCATGTGCATTTATAATTTTTGGCTATTGTCTCTTAGTTGGGCTCCACTTTTTTAGAATCATGGTTCTGAGCTATAATGGTAGGACACATCTATATTTCTCAGATTCAACATGTAGTGACTATATTTCTTGTTGAGACTAATCTGTTTATTCTGTAAACCATCGTGCACACTATGGTTTATGTCCTTGTTTTTGTAATACTGGAATGCATCCCTGGATATCTCTTTAAAATGGTATCTATTGGTGGAGAAATGAATAAATTAGTGGACAATGTCTGTATCTGCATTCATTTTTTATCATCATTTTTTAGTGGACAATGTCTGTATCTGTATCTTATGGATGATTTTAGAGTTGTTTATGCTCTCTCTTTTTAGGTCTTCACATTATACATTTTGTGGTTCTAGGTGTATGGAAACGTGAAAAGAGTTACTAACATTTTACTGCTATAAGATTGTGAATTATGAACACATTTCCACAAAGTAAACCTTGAATACTTATTGATATTTTACAGCTTGTATATCAAGGGAAATATCTTCTTAATGTTTTCCTTGTTTTAAGCATTTTAGTTGCAGAACCAAACACATATGGCTTATGTTGATGTGTAAATGTGCTTTTTTCTTCGTTTGTAGTGTTACCCTTAAAAGCCTGGTCAGTGCAGATCAACAAGAAATGTACTAGCACTTATTCAAGAAAAAACTTGTATGTTGCAAAAGCAGTACTATTATAAACTTGTATGTTGAAAAAATATATATCTCTTTTCTTTGTGAAAAAGCAATACTATTATAATAAAATAATTTAAAAAAACAGAGGCATATTCCTATTCTCCATATGTTTAGTCCAATAAATGGAAGAGCAGTGATTACATAAATACATGTAAGTTTTGTTATAATATGTAAATATGGTACTGCCACGTAAGGAATATGGCCCCCTCTTGATCTCACCCTATTTTTGTTTGAATTGAATAGTAACTAAACCTTTAATTAATTAGGTATTTCAAAGATGAGTAACAGTGATGAAAATCAATGGAATGATGACCATGATGATGAAGATACTGAAGATGAAGGCAACACATCGCAAACCCAACAAAATAATAATATGCTCTTAGCTACGGCGGCTACAGTTGCAGTGACATATGCAACAAATTATTTGATAAAAGAACCATGTAGGACATCTTGTTTAACAGGAGGGATGTGGATGGTAGAATTACAAGAAGGGAATCGGATAAGAATATTTGAAAATTTTTGAATGGAAAGAGAGGTATTTTATCAATTGTGTAATTTGTTACAGACAAAGTGTGGCCTTGAAACTAGACAAAATGTCTCGGTTCAAGAGCAGGTTGCAATATTTTTGTTTATTGTTGGCGGTGACATTCGAAACAGAAATGTCCAAGAAAGATTTCAACATTCTGGCGAGACTATTTCAAAATAATTCAAGAATGTTTTAAAAACTGTTACAATGATGTCCATTGATTGGGTAGGGCCTCAACCGACCAATGGTGTGCATCCATATATCCGACACAATCGCAAATATTATCCTCATTTCAAGGTAAATAATTAACTACAAGCGCAACTTGGGTGTTACATATAATTAATGTTGGTAGGATATTTCTAATAATCTGTGGCTAAAAATATTTTTATTCACTATTATGTAATAGGATTGTATTGGAGCAATTGACGAAACACACATCAAAGCATATATATCTCCAGATAAGCAAACTCGTCTAATAGGTAGAAAGGGATATGCGACTCAAAACATAATGGCCGCATGTGACTTTGATATGTGTTTCACATTTTGCTTACTAGGATGGGAAGGAAGTGCACACGATACTCGGATCTTCTTAGATGCAATTAGAAATCCTAGTTTTAATTTTTCAAAACCACAAGGAGGTAACTGTTTTATATTTGATTGCTACAATAGGTGCACCACACTCACATCTTCATATTTATTTTTACATTTATAATTGCATACTTTAATTTCATTTTGGAATTTTAAAATAGATGAATTTTACTTTGTGGATGTTGGTCATCCAAACATGAAAGGATATCTTGCACCTTACAAAGGAGAGAGACACCATCTAGCTCAATTTGAGCATGGTCAATCCCCCAAAATGCACAAGAAAAATTCAACCAAGCACATTCATCACTTAGAAGTGTAATAAAAAGAATGTTCGGGGTTTGGAAAACAAGATGTCCGATGATAAAGGATATCCCACCAAACTACAAGTGGCCAACCCAAGTCAAACTTGTTTGTGCAACAATGGCAATTCATAATTTCATCCGACAAAGTAAGTTCCGCGATATTGCATTTGACTCTTATGATAGATTTACGGATTATGTACCTAATGAAGAGGAAGGATATTCGTCTCAACAAGCACGCAATGGAAATGATGTTGCATGTGATGACAACGAGATGGAAGTGAAGAGACATAATATTTGTATGTCAATTTGCAGATGAAATTAGGAGTTCTGTAAATATCTGTGAAGTTTTATTTTTCTTGCCTTAATAGTAATTTATTGTATTTTTATTGCAATGACGTTTTTTTATTTCCTTGTCAACTCAATATTATTACATAAAAAATAAAAATTAAAAAAAAAATTGAGGTAATGAAATGTACCAAATTAGGTACTAATTAATCAACTTCCATTAATGAAATAACTTTTTCAAAATTTAAAAAGAAGAAAATGACAAGAATTACAAATTTCCTGTTCATAAGGGCAAATATAACAATTACACAGCAAAAAGCTATTTTACAGCTTATTTCTCAAGCACTACTCTGCTACTTAAATCTATAATCCCACAGCTACACCAAACAGGTTACCAACTTATACTCACAGCTATAAGCTATAATCTGTTAAGCTGTAATCTATAATCACTTTCTCACAGCTCTACCAAACGGGGCCTTTGACTTTTAAGCTTCGAAAAAATGAGAAATAAGGAAGGTGAAATAAGAAGGGAAAAAAAATAAAATATTTAACTTCATAAATGTTAATATAAATATTTTCTAGGAAAAAAAAAATGTTGCTTTTATGTCATACACATTGTTAGTAGACTGAACCCAATGGAGAAGTCATTTGTTTGTGATTGGAAACTTCAAGATTGGGATGTAATTTTTTAATGTGGCGGGGGATTTGTATTTTTAATAAATTTTAGAAATGTATATATAATTTATTCTTAAATTAATAATTCATTGCAAGTGGAATAAGGTATATATTGACAACAAAGTTGAGAAATTTATGGCAGTGTTTGGCGTACTGGTTGGCGCAAATTAAAGGGTGGATTTGAGGTTAATAGATGTACGTACATATCTGAAATTTTATCCATGTTCTCACCAAAAATGTGTTAGGGTTTCTCATTATCAAAAAAATAAAAAATAATAATAATAATAATAATAATTTATGGGCGATGATGGTAAATAAAATAAATATCAGTAATCTTATACTTATTGTCTTTTTTATTTAAAATTTAATTTTGGATAAATTATTTCATTAGTTTCTCTAATTTGAGTAAAATTTTATTTTAGTTTTTGTAGTTTTAATTTGAATATTTTGATCATTAGATTTTTAATTTTGTTACAATGTGGTTTATCCATCACTTACTATTATAATGTTTAGGATTTGTTACACTTTATACCCTTAAACTATCATCAAATTGTCTATTTAGTTCCTAAACTATTGATCAAGTCCGTAAAATATATAAATCAACGTCTATTTAGTCTATAAACTATCAATTGAATCTATTAAGTCGCCAAATATGTAATTCAAACATATTTAGTCCCTAAAAGGATTACAAAGATAAAATATATACCCATAAGTATTATAAATTAGTAAAAGACCCACCTAATTAAGATTTTATTCTTAAAAAAATCTATATTTTTTATTTTTTCTTTAAAAAAGTGTTTTATTTCGTTGTGTATTTAAATTAGAATCCGGTTTTGATTTTTCAGTCTTGCTAATAAAATTATATGAGTATTAGACATATTGAAAAACTAAAATTAGATAAATTAAATAATTACACTTAGGTACAAATAATAATAGAATAAAATAATACATTAATTAACTTATAAAATGAATTCAGCAAAAAAACTTAAGATAATCAATTAGAAATTATAATGAAATCCAACATATATCACTAGATAAAGGCAACCAAGTAGCCTTTATAGAAGATAAGTAAGAAAATATTGTATATGATTATCATTACCCTTACAAAGAAAAGAATTGACATCTACAAGTCATAGACAAAATAAAAATTTAAGATTTTTTTGAAGTAAAATTTTAATTTGATAGGGTCTTTTACTAATTTATAATATTTATAGACTTATATTTTATTTTTGTAATTATTTCAGGGACTAAATATGTTTGAATTAAATACTTTGAACATTTAATAGTTTTAATTGATAGTTTAAGGGCTAAATAGACTTTAATTTATGTATTTTAGGGATTAACTAGACTCAATACATAGTTCAGGGATTAAATAGATAATTTAATGATAGTTTAGGGATAAAAAGTCTAATAAACTCTAATTTTTAAACGGAAAAAAATTATGTGCAAAATTAGAAGGTGCAAAATTAATTTTTGCTTATGTTGCTTTTCATCCAAAATATTAACTGTGAATGATGGAG